GGGACCTGAACCTGTTCAGCCTCCACAAGAGAAGGCTGAGGGGGGATCTAGTGGCCTGTTACAAACTAGTCAGAGGGGACCAGCAGGCACTGGGGAAGTCCCTGTTCCCCCGAGCACTACCAGGAGTGACTAGGAATAACGGTCACAAGCTGGCAGAGGGTAGATTCAGGCTAGATATCAGGAGGCGCTACTTCACGGTCAGGGCGGCTAGGATCTGGAACCAACTTCCAAGAGAAGTAGTGCTGGCTCCTACCCTGGGGGTCTTTAAGCCAAGGCTAGACAATCACATTGCTGGGGTTGTTTGACCCCAGTACTCTTTCTTGCCATGGCAGAGGGTTGGACTCGAAGATCTGCTCAGGTCCGTTCCGACCCTACAAACTATGAAACTATAGTCTGGAACAGATTTCCAATCAGTTTCTAATCCTGGGTGGCATCTGGTTTTAAAATGTTTTTTCTTAGAAGTTTATACAGTATGCATGTGTTAACTGTGAGGACCTGCATTTGTATTAGCAACTTATTCTCTATTTTTTCATGCTAAGGATGACAGAAGGCATATTCAGAAACAAAACCTATTGAAATGCTTTCCTAGAACTGTCTTTTCCCAATATAAGGACACCAATAACTCCTGTTTAGCTAGATAGCATACCAGTTACTTGTACATAGAGAAACAGAGGCATCCTTGCTCATTAGGGGTGCACCGATAGAGATTTTGGGAGCCAATAATGATAGCCGATTTTTAAGGAGGCATATCAGCCAACACCGATCCAATTTCTGATACAGCTGTGCGCAGCTGGTAGGTTCGTTGTGGTAGAAGGGGAGGGAAGGGGTGGGGGGGGCAGATCAACACCCCCCATGGTGAGGGAGGGGGCAGAAGCAAGTGCTGTCCATCTGGGGTGGGGTGCAGGATGGAGCCAGGGCTCATGTGGGGGGTGGCTTCCACTGCTGCTTGCACCCTGGAGGACATAGGCAGGTGGGGGGGTGTGCCCCTATATCTGCCTGGGGCAGGGCAGGTGGGCTGGAGCTGGGGCTGCATCGGGCTCTTCTTGGTGGGGGCTACGGAGGTAGCTGCAGCCACCCCAAATTTCACTGTAGCCCAGCTCCCAGGGCCCCCACGTAGAGGGCAGTCAGCAGGGGGTGCCATGTGCACAATCACATGCACATGGCCACCAGGCAGGAGAAAATCCAGGTTTATCTCCTTTATCTCCAAGAGAAAATCTAGGTTTTATCACATTTTTCAGTGGTAACCTGGATCCCTGGTGCTGACACATCCATAGTGCTTGGGATACTGAAAATGTTTTGATCTGTTTGATGAACTAAAACTGGGCACAGGCAGAAAGAAATATTTCCCATTGCAAAACAACGCTACCTCTCCTGTCTATCACTGTTTATAAGTGATCCCTTGTTTGAAACTGTAACACCTGAATTGCTATCATGCTCTTTTGGGACACTATCTTTGAAACCCATCATCCATTATGCAGCATCCACACAGACATCTGTACTTCAAGTAGGAATGTTGGGTACAAGGAACCATGTATTGGTACAGCATAAAAGAAATGCAGCATTTTAAGTAGACCATGGCTTTGAAGATACAGACACAAAGTTAGCTGTTTTTTAGAGGTCCCAGGGCTGATGGAAAGGATGCCAAGGACTAAACCTTCATCAGAAGAAAGTATCCAGTCACAAGACACAGTATCTCTTCTCAGGCAAAAAACAGAGTGTTTACCCAAAAGGAAATGGGATTGTGAAGAAACCTAGAGAATGGCAAGAATAGAATAAACCTTAGGGAAGGTAATTGTAACTGGAGCCTGCCCCCAGAAGTAGCTGTGATGCTTCCTAGTGGCCACTCAGTCCTTGTCTCTTGCTATCCCTTTAAGGATCCTCCCCTTCTGCTTTTCTGCCACACCTTGATGTAATGTGTACTTGTCAAAAAGGTGGCGACCCCAGGGATTCTGGAGCCAGGTCTTGTACTAATTAGCAAATTCCACTACTTATCACCTTAAGGGCTTATTACATGGCCTCTTCCTCTCCCTTTATAGACATGCCCAAGCCTCCCAGGAGTTACCTGTCTGTTCACTTTTGTCCTTTTTGGGCCATGCTCAGCTTTTTTCAAGCCTGGAGCCAGCATGGGACTTCAGGCCTCACCGGTGCTGGCCCTGGGATGTTGGTCCCAAGATGGTGACCAGGGAGTGGGGCACCTGGCAAGTGGCAGGGCTACCCATGCGGCCCTCGACAGCTTGCCAAAACTGGGTAAGCGGCCCTTTGCCCGAAATAATTGCCTGCCTCTGTCTTAGATCAAACAGGAAAGCCCCTAGATCAAACAGGAAAGCCCCTAGTGACAACAGGTATCATCAGCTGTTGGCAGCTTGCAAGCAGAGTTGGGTTTTTTTGGATCACAGGTTGTGGACTTTAGATGCCTAAGTCCACTTAAGTTCTGTTTTAGTCACCTAAGTCTTCTTTGGATCAAGACCCTAGCACTTAAGACATGATTTTTAATGGGTTCTGAGTATTCTCAGTTGCTTTTAACTTCAATAGGCACCTCGTAGTAGGCCTCTAGAGCCAGACAGGTTCTTCAACAGCAGGCCACACTGGGAAACTAGTTTGGGATAGCTAACCTGCAGCATGTGTGCCACAAGGTCTCAACTAACAGCAGCCAACGCTGCCAAGGGCAACAAGCGGGGGGCCGCAGCTGCTGCTGCCATGGCACAGCTTCAACAGGTGAGCCTGGAGCCAGCACGGGGCCAGATGACAAGATGGTGCTGAGTGTGGTGGGAAATGCGGCCCCTCCCCCACCCCGTGGCTGGCGTCCCGCGCTGCAGCCACTCACAGCCTGCATGGGACTACCTGTGCCTACTCAGGACAGCCCTGCGCAGGCTGCGAACAGCTGCAGCAGGGAGCACCAGCCATGGGGCGGGCGAGGGGCTACTTCTCCCCACACTCCACACCAGCTCCTTCCCTGCCCTCTCCCCCCTTTCCTGCGCTTCCCACGCTGGGGCAGCCATGTGGTCCCAGGAGCAGGACCCCGCAGGCCCTGCTGTTGCAGCAGCCCGCCGAGGATTCTCCTGGGTCCTACTGCCCCTGGTTCCTGTCATTTTTGACAGGAACCAAGGACAGATGCATTTGAGTTTTCAAAATTTTTTTAGGGGCCCCACGGCCAGATAGAATGGCCTCGCAGGCCAGATCCAGCCCACAGGCCATATTTTGCCCACCCTGATCTAAGAAATCCCTAGGTATCTTCTGTTCTGGGATATGCATAGAACTGCCCCATATCTTCTGCTTCCTAGGAGAGGGCCATAACCACCAAGCTATAAGCTATTTTACATTAAACAATCACTGGATAATAAATAGAAATAATCTGAAATTCCTTTGGCTAAGGAGGGTGTTGAACTCAGATCTCCCATTTCCTGGACAAATACTAGAGAGTTTATTGTAATAAAAAAGGAGCAGTGGGAGCACAAACACCTCTTCTTTTGCTAGTGGGTTTTTGGTTTGGTTTGGGGTTTGTTTTTCTGTTTTTGTTTTTTTTACAAAAAACCCAAACAAACACAGTGAGCCCTCCCTCCATCCATTCAAAAAAATAGACATAGGAGAGGGTTCTAGGCTCTCTACTGGACAATCTTCCTGCTCTGATTCACATGCTTACATTTCTGAAATTTCAGATATCTGTGCTCAGAGTTTCACACTGGCTAACATGATGTGGCTCAATGCTTGGTGTTTTGGATCCAACTCTGAAATACTTTACTCTCCCTGTGCAGAAGCACCTAACATCAAGTTCCAGAATTCACTCAGGGAAGGAGGGGAGAACAGATGACTAAAGAGGTTAGGTGACTTGGCAAATAACTTAGAGGTTCTCAAGTCCATTTCTTAACCTAGTCCCAGTTTTAAAGGTATTTAGGCACCTACCACTCATGCTAGGCTGGATACTGCCCAACTTCTGGCTCCCAGACCCATTTTTAGCAGATAATTAGGGCTGTACAAAATGTCAACTGCCGTTTCGTTTCAGCGGTGTTTCAAGCGTTTTGATGCTTAAAATTCCAAATCCGAAACAAAATGTGTTGAAATGTTCAAAATGAAACTAAACAAGTTGAAATGTTCTGAAGATGTTTTGGCGTTTCAAAGGTGTTTCAAACCTGGGCTTGCAGGGAAAGAGAAAGTAAGGAGAGGGAGGGGGAAGAGAGGGGAACAGACTGACATCTGTAGCTGGCCAGTGTCTGCCAGCTGTCCCCAAGGTCCCTTCCAATCCTTGTGCTCTGTGGGAGGGACTTAAAAAGTTTTAAAACAGCATATAAGCCTGTGAGTTCCTAAGCTGTTAGCCTGTCTCTCGCCAGAGAGCAGCATCTGAAAGGCACTGACTCTGACTGTTTCTTAGCTGCTACTGTCTACCTAGGGAGTGTGTATTCTACTTGCAAAGGATTGGATAGGATACAGCTTACACTGATAGCTTAGCTATACTAGCCTAACTTCAATACTAGTATTGTTATCCCTATATCACCTTTTCTTTTTATATCCATTCCTTTAAATTTTTTTTTTTTGCCTGAAGTAAAAAAATATATCTGTGTTTTGCCTGACAGTGTGATTGCTGGGCACTGTTCATGAAAGCACAGCATAGCTTAGATAGACTGCACACACAGACACCTACATATATACACACTACACACAGTCAGACACTTTTTCCAGCACAGGAAAACATGAAGTGTGCTGGAACGGCCAGTGCTGCCAAGTCTGGGAGGGGAGCGAGAGGGGGCAGAGGGAAAGGTGTCAGTCCCCCACCACCCAAGCTGAGACGCAGCCTCTTTTCAACCAGCCATGAGGCTTCTGCTGGTACTGGGAGCAAGGCGGTCACAGCAGTGCTTGCAGCTGCACCCCCTCTGACTCCGGCTGTGGTAATAAACCCCAGGACCAGCAGCATGACAACAAGCAGCACCAGCAGCAGTCTCCTCCACCCCAACTGCAAGTCCCAGCATGAGCCTCCCGCTCCCAGTCTTGGAGGAGCTCAGTCTTGAAGTAGGGGACCTCAGCTTGATAGCACAAGAAATTCTGGGGCAGGAGGGGAAGCAGAGTTTGTGCTCTACCCCATCAAAATTCCCCTACAGTTAGGTCCCCTTCCCCAGAAGAGACTGCAGAGGAGGCTGTGGGGGCACCTGGCTCAGCCCCTCCTGTTGTTGTGCCTCTGCCTGCTGAGAAGGGCAATAAGGCAGGACCCCCACTTGCACCCCAGAAGCGAGTGGGTAGTGTGGTCTGGGATCATTTTGAGGTGTCAGATGATCCCACATATGCTATTTGCCTGCACTGCCAAGCCAAGACAAGCTGGGGCAAGGGAGCAAAATGCATGAGCACCATGGGGATGCTGATGCATCTCTGCAGGCACCACCCCCTTGCCCTTGCTCCTCCTCAGCCTGGCACCAGTGGAAGTGTGCCCAAAAAGAAGTCCCCGTCTCACTCAAAAGCCCCTGTCCCCCCAAGGCAGAGCCAGACTACCCTGGACCAATGGGGGAAAGGCAGGCACACAGGGGGGCGTGTTCCTAATGTAAGCGAGGTCACCCAGAGCATTGGCAGGCTTCATGGCCTCAGCAGGGGCTATCATCCCTGCTGTTTTCACCCCACTCTGCTGTAACACACACACGTGACACGAGTTTTGCTCTCAGTACCTTGAGGTGCAGTTTCCCAAAAATCCCTACACCCATCTCCTTGAAACTTGGCAGGCTTCATGCCCTCAGAAGGGGCTCCCATTCCTGCAATTTTCATCAGAATCAGACAAGAAATGACAAAGTTATAGGCATTTTAGTCATTCCTCATTATAGCCTATGGCTGAAACACCTGAACAGTGTTGAAACTTGAAACAATTTCGGCCAAAACAAAACAGCGATTTGAAATGCCGAAACAAATTGCTGTCCTGTTGAAACGCCGAATCCAAAACCAAAATGAAACACAAGCGTTTTGCAGAGCCCTACAGATAACCAAACATCTTATAACAGGTAGGATCCAAATGTTTTGTCTTCTGCTTTTGTTTGCTAACCACCATTAACTGTTGAGAAAGCTGGGGGAAATAACTACATACTAATGCAAAGCACATCATTGAAATGCAAAACAAAAGCAGGAGAAGGATAGAATAGAGAAAGGGGATATATTTAAGGCCTTTAGGTCCCAGTCCCAATCCCTTTGCTGTCCTACCATTTCTATTAAAGCCATTTGGCATTCAGGGTACAAGAATATGGCAGTAGTTTTCAGCTGTTCTAAATGTTTGAATCTCTAGTAGCATTTAGGTTGATATGGGCCCTAAATTGTGATACATAAGATGCCTCAAAGTGTATGTGAAACTAACTTTACCTTAAGGTACAGATGGAAGTGCCTTATTTATGTTCTTTTCTCCTTGTGCAAATACAGTCCATTCTGTTCAGCTTTTCCCATATTACTGGGCACTCAGATATCATACTTATTATTTAAATACTGCTTCATTCTAATAGAAAACTACGAGGAAACAATACCTGCAAAATTTTTGAATAACTGATCACAATGACTAATCCTGGTATTGCAAAGATGATGATGCTGAAAGTTATATCCCAAGATATCTCTCCTGCAATGCTGGGCCAAACCAAGGTGCACACTTGTATTTCCTGTTTGCAAAGAGTAAAAGAAGATAATTAGCATTGTTCAATCCATGGCAAACTTTACACTGAGGCCAAAATGTAAATTAAGGAAGTTAGCCCCTCATCCTATTAAAATAATTGGCCACTGACTAACAGGAGCTATAGAAACTATCACTGCTCAAAACAAAAGACTCATTCAGGGTGGTATATTTTCTTTTAACACAGTGGCAGGTGTACAGTTGGCAAGATATGCTATGCAAAAACTTGAATTCTTGCCATAGTTACACAGCAAATGCTACGCTAGGGATGATACTCAGATGGAAACTCCTGCTTTGAGTAGGGGGTTGGACTAGACCTCCTGAGGCCCTTCCAACTCTCTTTTCTGATTCACTTGTGCAAAATACAAGGTTAGAAGGTGAAGGACCAGAAATCAGACCGGCAGCTGCTGTTTGCTGTAGCTTCACCTGCCTCAGTGCCTGCGTGGGTTTTCCATTAATTCCTAGCCCGACCCACACCTTTCCTCTACCCGCGGCCCGGACACCAGCTGTGCAAGGGGCAGCGTGCGGGAAGGGGGAGCTCTGGGAGTCCTTTGCCCGCAGTTGAGGCGCTGCACAGGCACAGGCAGGGCGGGATAAGTAAGAGGGTAAGTAGCGGCCCGAGCCCTGGAGCCCTCCGCAGAGGCGCGACTACTGGCTAGTTCGCTCCGTCCGGCAGACGCGGGGGAGGACAGCCCCGAAGGCCAAGCAGCGCCCCCGCTGTCCAGTCCCAGCCCCGGCCCCTCCTCGGCTCACCTTGCCGCCCACGGGCTGGCGCACCACGGTGAAGAAGAGGCAGAGCGGCAGCGCGGCGAGCGCGGCCGCGCCCCAGATGAGCAGCAGCGCGGCGGGGAGCAGGCGGCCGCGGCCCCACGCCGAGCG